CAGGCACTATATACTGACACATGGAGAGCAGGGAGTTACTTCTCAAATGGAGAACCAGTGTTGACAGGGCCCAATGAACTCCCTGCTCTCCATGTGTCAGTATATAATGCCTGCATCTGTAACTTTCACTCTATGCATCCGAAGAAGTGAGGTTTTTACCCACGAAAGCTTATGCCCAAATAAATCTGTTAGTCTTTAAAGTGCCACCAGACTCCTTGTTATTCTTGCAAACAAAGCCTCACTGTAAATCTGAAAACTAGTACAGCAGTTATTGAAATCAGGAGTGGGGTTTTTTTTAATATTAAAAAAAACATGCTTATGCACCGAAACATTCACAGTACTCAATCACTAACATATATTGCACATAGGCTTGCCAAAAACGTGGCAATTAGCATTAATTTGCGAACAGTTGCACACAAATCTACACATGATAATTAATTTACTGGAAAGCAAACAGGAAGAGAGGACTAAATAATCAGAAAGCAAAGCTTCAGCATAAAATTAAAAAAAGATGGTCGGCTCATTTACTAAAAGACAGATGTAATTAAGTCCAGACATTATTAGGCTGATTCCTTAATTGCATTTGAGATTTGAAGGCACTGGAGGGAAAAAACAACAGTGTATGACTTGTGCATCCCAGATTTTATCCTACCTCCATGTGGCTGTTCAAGCCCACTCCTTGACTTGCCATAGCCATAACTCAAGGGTATTCTCTGGTAATTAGATGGAGAAGCAGGAGGTGAACACATCGGTGACATGGGAGGAGACTTGGTTTCCTGCTTCAGAAACAACAAAGTGGAATTCTGAGGTGACTACAGAAATAGGTGGAGTAATATTGCATACCAGTTCAATCACATACAGCATGATGTGCAAGGCATAGTAATAACTGACAAATACTCTTGCCCCTATTTCCAAAAGAAACGTGATTATAAATGGAAGATGGCAAAATGATGCTTTGATGTTGAGCCTTGTTCTGGGGGTAAAATACAGCCATATTCATCTGAAGGGGTTAGAATGAACTCTAAGACATTTTACTTGCATATATGTCTGGAGAAATATTTTTGTTAAATCTTATTATTACTGGGTATTTTTGGATTTACATATTGTATTTAGGTTTTTGAATTCATTCCCCATTTAAGAAAACTTTTCATTTCAGAAGAAGGCAAAAAATGAAAAATAACTAAAAGCACCAATTCAAAGATTTATTTTAAATATTCTGTGAACTGCCTTTGTGGGAAGTAGATTTGTAGCTGTTGTCAGATCTAACTTGGAGTTTGTTTCCTTTTTCCTTGAGGATTGAGCTTTTGTAGAAGACAATGATTTACTATATAAACAGAAAAAATATGACTTGCAACACCAAGGCAATAAAAGTCACCTAGGAAGAATTATAGGTTTGGTGGCAATGCTCTACTAGAATGAAATTATTCACAGAGAACAGATATTTGCAATCTTATTTCCAATTTCATTATTCTATATGTGCATGCCCCATTAACTCATTAATAATGGTTAGCCTCAGACCAAGTTTGTTATTACTAATACTGGCAGTGCCATAAGTGTGCATGTGCTCTACAGATATATACACTGCCTGCCCCAAGCAGCTTACAGCACAAAACATGATACATGATGAGATGATGTCAGGCAAGGGAAAGGGTCATGCAAATAACAGGAGCTGTGAGATAGCTTGTTTTTATAAGCATGTAAGCATCACGCTCATTCTCAGTTTTTATAGATTCAGACAATATGAATCTCTTTATGATTCAGCTATTTTTAACTGGGAATTCAGAAGATCAGAGCAGCAGCAGGATTCATTACTGGAAGAATATTTCCCTGAGGGTGGATTTCTAGAACTAGCCTGGTATAACACCTCAAAGGAGATTAGAGGAGAAAGAATATGGTAGGTTTTTTAAGGTCAGGCTTGACAAAGCCTTGGCTGGGATGATTTAGTTGGTGTTGGTGCTGCTTTGAGCAGTGGGTTGGACTAGATGACCTCCTGAGGTCTCTTCCAACCCTGATATTCTATGATTCTAGGTTTCCTCAAACCAAAAACAAGGAGTTGTGACGATGGCAGACCAGTTGCCAACTCATGCCAAGACCCTAGGCCTCAACTGGAGACCGACAAATATATAATTGGAACGGGTCTGGCTCACCTGTGTGTTAGTATTGTTAAAATAGGTATTAGAGTTATAAATATGTGGTTAAAAGAAGAACAAGAGTACTTGTGGCACCTTAGAGACTAACAAATGTATTAGAGCATAAACTTTCGTGGACTACAGCCCACTTCTTCGGATGCATATAGAATGGAACATATATTAATATGTGGTTAGTGTTTAGACTTTACAGAACGCTTGCAAATTACTGCATGCATTAATCTCAGTTGTTATATCTGTATCCAATGTCATAAGGTAATATTTAAGTGTTTGCTCTGTAACTGTAAATCACCAGTCAGGAGAGAAGCATTACCAAGTGTGAAATACTACAGGAGGTATTATCTCCTGCCCAACAAAAGGCGGCCCATAAACACCAAACAAACCATAGGGAACATCAGAAGACAAAAGATTTTGTTGATTGCTCTCCTCCCCCCATGAATAGGAGATATGCAACTGAATTTCTCCCAGCAGCTGAACTTGCAACTCGAAAGGGCAAGGAATAAAAGGCCCTAACAAGGAGAAACTGTATCTCTATGTTGCTAGGACTTTAGGAGGGCAAGATTTCTAAACATAAGTGAGGGATCCCAGCGGCTTCCTCTGGGTTAGCCCTAAAGGACATACAGAGTTTGCACATTACACCAGCTTCTATCACCTTTTGGAACCTAAGACTGTATGTTTATCTGCTTTTAACCTTGTAAATAACTCTCATTTCCTTTTCCTAGTTAATGATTCTTTAGATAGTTTATCATAGGATTGGCTACAAGCATTGTCACTGGTGTGAGATCTAAGGTGCAATTGACCTATGGTAAGTAATTGGTCCTTTGAAAAGGGGACTAACTTGAATACTGCTGTGTTCTTTGGAGTTAGGGACCATCTATCACTATCTGGGTAGCCAGATTGATCAGAGTACCCAAGGGGACTGTAAGTCCATGCCTCCGGAGTTCACACTTGATAATTAGTTGGTGAAATCTAATTATAGAACTCACAACCAATCTGGGGGCCATGGATCAGCGTTCACATTGCACTCCCCATCAGTAAGCATCCCAGGGCAGGTAAGTTAACGATCCAACCAGTGGATCAATTTCAGGGATGAATCCTGGTCATGTGCCACCTGGAGCACGTTGCACATACACTAAGAACACAACCAATCTGGGGTTTGTATCCTGCTTCTTAACAGTCTGCCCTGATGTTGGTACTCACACTCTTGAGCCACTCCAGACAGCTTGACAGGAGTCATGAAGGGCTGTCTATTCTCTTAGCCTTCCAGCATCACTCTTTTCATTAATTATGTTGTCACTAGGGACTGTACTTATGATAGAGACTCATTAGTTTGGTTGTTGTTTTTTAAACCCAAGGCAGTTTTCTACTTTTCCCGTCTGCAGCCTTCTCTCCCCCGCTAAAAAACAGCAACTTTGAACTACGTAAGCAAAGTTTCTGAAACATTTGCAAAGAATATTACAGCTCTAACGAGCAATGACCCACAGTGATGACTTTATGGTAAATATGGGTGGGGGGAGAAAGAATGTGTGCATTTTGCTGGGTGTGACTAAGTGGGGGATGTTCTTAGTGTTTTGCATGGATACTGTGTGGGTCTCGGTTACCCTGTGTGCTTAACGAGGTAGTGGGAGAGGGTTTGTTGTTACAGAGAACCAAGTGTGACCTCGCTTAGCAGCCAGGACCCCAGACAACTGCCTGGAGATGGAAACCCTAGCGACCAGTGACCGTGGTGACCAGGAGGCCCACCCCAGCTTGGCTGTCAGCAGGTTCTGGCCAGTGGGAGGACAAAGGGCTGAGAGAGGACCCCGGTGACCTGACCAGCTGGTTCCAGCCAGTGGGGAACAAAGGATGGAAGAGAGAGGGCCCAGGCAACCCGTTTATCTGGGACCAAAGACAAAGGACAGGGGAAGAGCTGCTGGGGGAGATGATCTAGGATGATCAGCTGGAAGGAGGGGGCTTCTGGGCTGGGGAGAGGGAGCAGCCAGAGCCCATCTGGATGCAGGAGAGACCTAGATGTACTGTACTGAGGGTTGCTAGGCTTGAGAGCCCGGAGAGTTTCCTGTGCTGGGTTCAGATGCTCAATAAACCCTCCTGTTTTATGCTGGCTGAGAGTCACTCCAGTCTAGAGATCAGGGTTGCATTATTCCCTCTGGGACTCCCGGGAGTCCAGAGCAAGTAGACTCCCCGAGGGGGCCCACGCTGAGAGACAGGCAGGCTGAAGGCTCAGAGGAGTGAGGTTCCGGGAGGCGGAGGGGCCTACGGCTTAACCCCCGAGAGTGGACCCCTGAGAAGGACTGGCACACTGAAGGGGGTTCCTCCCAGGGACCATACGGAGCCGAGAGAGAGCACGAGTCCTCTGAGTCCGTGACACTGGGCAAGTTATGTTGATTTGTGTGGGGGCTGAACTGCAGCACTTGAACCAAGTGATCCACCATCTGTGCAGTCTCCCTCACACAACCAATGAAACTGTTGCATGCAAATTTGCTCTAGAGTAAGGGTGGTGATTGATTGAGTTACCTCTGATATCACAATGATCTAGGACTCTTGGCATGGCATAGACACATGCCTTATTATAGCTGAATACAATTAACGTAATTTGTTAAAACGGATGAGAATTTAAAAATTGGATGGTAACAGACCATGTATCCCAGTGATGATGGAACCTGGTGATATTCTAAACAAAAAGAGCTCTCGAACATGCTTGTAGCAATTTCCATCCCATTACACTGATTTAACAGACATTCTATGCTTCAGATTGACAGACAGAGTTACAATCTTGGAATCTTATAGATAGATAATAGGCGAAATACATAATTCTATAAAAGTTCTTGTAAATAAAATCCTCTTGGGATACAGTTGGTACAAGAGAATATCAAAATAAGAGCAAAATCCTGCCAACAATTATTCACATATATAGAGTTAACCTTGCATGGGGTCCTACTGAACTAATGGAATAAGCATCCATGAGTGTAACTGTTTGCAGGATTGGACCCTAAAGTTGCACTATACACGAACATATTTGCCTTAAATAGAGCCTTGTTACCTTTTTATCCCCTTCATCTGATCTTTTGAAGGAATTTTTTTCCAAGGTTGGATGTGGAAGCTGAAATTTAACTCCGTGTATTTCTGCTACATTTCCATATCTCATTTCAATGTCATTTTTGAGTGCCATAAACCGAGGAAGAGGCAATTCTTCATTAACAGAAAGAAAGAGAAGTTCAAATGAGACTACAGTATATTAAAATTCTTTGAAGCAGTATCGCAGTGCAAAACCAATGAAAAGTTAAACTATAAAATAAGAAATAGCACTAAGAATTACAAAAAAAATAACCTATGGAACGTCTGAAATTATTTTTGTCTTAATAGCAAATATTATGAGATTTGCACATACTTTATTACTGTAAAGAGAGAGAGGTGCCTCATTCACAGTATGAAGCCAAGTCTCAAACTCATTTCTGGTCTTAACCTAGCCAGCACTATTACATATGTTGTTCATTGTTGTCTACAAGTAGTTTCCAGAAGAAACTATGGGAGCAATCAATTTATTAGGGCAAGATCATTGTATCCTCCATGCTGTTACTAGAACAGAAAAAAAGCACCGAGTTAAACAGACCTATTCAAAGCCTAGTAAGACTGTGGTGTCAGAAATGCTACCATTTGCCATAGCTCAGAAGAACCGAAGAGTGACACTTATAACCTCATGCATCATCCAAAAATCCAATACTGTTCTAAGGAAATTTATCATCTTCTTGTTGTAAACTTCCACTTCTCCACATAGTAAGTTATAAGATCAGTACAACAAAAGAAACAGAATAAAGGCTCCTGGAATCAAGTAAAACACGATGGGATCTTTATAATCACTTATACATACAGCTGTTTCTATGAAATCAATCTACTTTTGCTGTACATCACTCATCCATTCCAACAGCTCTACTGTGTTTCTGGGGACAATGTAATTAGTGCTTTTGAAACCTGGAAACATTTCAGCAATTAAGTGGGATATCAATCCAAAGACCATTGTTCGTTCACATCTCTGCAGTATTTCCAGCTGCTGTATTTATGAAACATACACATTGAATCTCACTTGATTCAGATTGCTAAAGTAGCTAGTTTCTTCTAAAATTAACCTGATTGTCCTAAAGAGATGCTTAGGATAGACAGAGCAGGAATCTGACTGAAAGTTCCCCAAAAATTTCTATTTAATAATGTCCCCAGATTTATGGTTTACTTGTTGGTTTGGCAAAAAGAATAGGAGTACTTGTGGCACCTTAGAGACTAACAGATTTATTAGAGCATAAGCTTTCGTGGACTGGTTTTTTGTTTTTGTTTTTTTGTTCTTTTTTTAAATGTAATCCTTCAAAACAAATGCAGAAGCAATGTGAAAATCCCAGCTCTCAGGCTTGATGATCAGACAACATATTTAGTCTTAAAAGTGCTTTAGATAAGATTCTTGACAATTTAAATTTCACTCCCCTGCTAGCTCACAATGATGCAATAGCAAAGATAGCAGGAAGAACTGGGTCCAACATGCAAACACACATCACCAGTCTCAACAAACGCAGTGCTCTGGATTTACTGGTGGAAGATCACAAAGGCTAAAAACTGGGATCTCTTTCAAACACAGTTTTGAAGGTATAATGGCAAATTAAAACACACGTGCACACACACACACAGTCATGGGGATAGTTTTAAAAAATTAAAGTGTAATTTGTAAGTAAAAATGGCATCAAAACAGTGATCCTGCTACAAAACACATATACAGTAAGGTTTTGAAACATGGCACTACCATGTTATACGTTTCTCAGGCTTATTTCTGCAACATCAATATAAATACCTTGATACCTCTAGTTCAACTCTGAAAACCTATCCTAATTAATAATGCCTTGATTCTGATTGATACCCAAGTGAGTTCTTTTCAAGGATTTCAAGAATAATATTTAATTCAAATAGAAGGATCAAGAATGACAAAATGGCACAAGATAGCTATGGAAATAAGAGCTTGGAATTCCTATTCCACCTGAAGCAGTTTATATTTTAGCACTAAAATCACTTGATTACAACAGATGCCTTTGGATGGATCCCTGGTTAGTGGGAGTTTAGCAAAAGCTGTGCTAAACTGGATTGTCACTACATAGTTTCTATGGGCACGTCTTCACTACCCGCCGGATCGGCGGGTAGCAATCGATCTATTGGGGATCGACTTACCGCGTCTAGTGAAGACGCAATAAAATCAATCCCTGATCGCTCTGCCATCGACTCCGGAAATCCACCGCGACAAGAGGCGGAAGCGGAGTCGATGGTGGTGCAGCAGCGGTCAACTCGCCGCCATCCTCACAGCCAGGTAAGTTGACCTAAAATACGCAACTTCAGCTACGCTATTCACATAGCTGAAGTTGCGTATCTTAGGTCGACCCCCCACCACCACCACCACCGCCCCGTAGTGTAGACCTAGCCTATGTCAAACGGACATAATAGGCCCAGCAGAGGATCAGAATTTGAGATGCCCACTTTGAAGTTTAAATCCTTTGCTTCTGGGCTGGCAGTGCAGGTGGCACAATGGATCTAATTACTTTCATTTATGAGCTATTAGTTTCTCACCAGTAAACATGTTCTTCCATCCCATCCACTTAGGATTTTTAAGAAGTTTCTTTTAAAAAATATTTTTTTCCGCAGAGAGGTTGTACTTAACATCAAGTTACAATGGAATCCGATCAGCAAATATGTTTGAAATAATCTCTAATGGACACTCTAACACAGCAGTTCTCAAACTGTAGGTCGGGACCCCAAAGTGGGTCGCAATTCTATTTTAATGGGGTCGCGAGGACTGGCATTAGACTTGCTGGGGCCCAAGGCTGAAGCCAAAGCCCGAGCCCCACAACCCAGGGCCAAAGCCAGAGCCCAAGGGCTTCAGTCCTGGGTGGCAGGGTCCCCTGCCTGGGGCTGAAGCTCTTGGGCTTTACCCCCCCCCCCCACCCAGGGCAGTGGGGCACAGGTGGGCTCAGGTTTTGGTCCCCCCTCCTGGGGTCCTCTAGTAATTTTTGTTGTCAGAAGGGGGTTACAGTGCAATGAAGTTTGAGAACCCCTGCTGTAACATTTACTGACACAAGGAGTGATTTTGCTACCTGCACCCATTCATTTCAACAGGTCTACTTGCAAAGAAAGGCCCCACTCTGGCAAGGTGTTCCCAAGGAGCCCCAACTTCAATAGGGCTCCATGTAGTTGCAGAGATCAGCCTGAGCAGAACTTAAGCCTAAAGTACCACACAGCATGAGTGAGGGTGGCAAAAATGGACCCACAACGATGATTGTCAACTGTCCTGTTATTTCTATAATGCTTTTACGGATGCAAAAGCAATTTGTACTTTTCTATCCATGTAACAACTTTGCACATAGAACCCAAGAATTTCATTGTAAATTTCTACCCATAATTTATGGATTATAAAACTAATTTCACCATTTCACCTCTTCCCCTCCTCCCCCTAAAATATATATAAATAAATCAATAGGATTTTGCTTTACAAACAGGTTGGAAGAAAAACTAACTGAAGCAAATAATGTACAATGAATGGTAAAGAAATTAAAGAACAAGCTCATAGCACACCAAGTAATGTGAGCTACTTACCACTTTTAATGCTCTCTATCCGTACTGGAAGGCCAGACTGCGCTGCAGCAATTAGTTTCAAAGCAACATAAAACTGAGCCGGACCAAAATAACCCACACGTTTTGCCCCACAAAGTTCTGTGATCTAAAAGAGAAAAAATACACACTTTGTAAAATACTTCTCGCTCTTTCCTCTAATACATCTTTTTTGAGATGGAGTGACCTGAACTGAGGGACTCCCTGCGTCGTAGCAACACTCGGTCATCAGGACAGTACACACAGGTAAACCAACAAGTCAGTCCTGGTGTGAAGCAATGCAGTGTTCTATACCAGTGGGAGGACTGAAACGTTAACTCAAAATAGAACTACATTCACATAAAGTTTTTCCAAAGTGGATTTATCCAATTCACAATAACTAGCCAGTTAGTTCAAAAGAAGAATTGCATCATGTGGACACAGCCCCTTTCAATTAAAAAAATAAATAATAAAAAAGGCCGTTAGTCTGAAATGAATCACCCACGTAGACTAACCCTACATGGCTACTGCTCTGGCTGAACAAGCCTTGGCTTTCTTCTCCTCCTCTTAGCTTCTGAGATGCCTGGCTCAAGTCCATCTTGTGATCAAGGAATTAAGAAGCTTCCTTCCTTTGGCTATCTGATGAAGAGGGAGGTGGAGACTCTGAAGCTGTATTTTTGCAATTAATCAAGGAAAGTTTGCCATTACCTTACTTTAATGTATTTACTTTTCTGGTTTACTTTTTATAACTGACCACATCTTATTTTCACATTTTTTTCCAGCAGGAATCAGGGGCCTCCGGCCTGCACAGGGACTAGAGCTGGGAGCATCTTGTGTGCGGAGAAATGGATGGGAGAGCAACTTTGCTCTAATGATGGCCCTCTCCCCGGAGGAGCTGCACTCTGCACAGTGTCCTGGGGTACTATGAGGAAGGATGAAGGTTTTGGTTGGGGGCTTGGGGGAACCTAGTTAAGGGGACTGGGGCTGTACAGGTGATCAGTAGTAATGGGGAGATTCAGCATCTCTTCATCAAGGCATCAGCACTTGATGACCTTCCATTTGCTGCTGCTTTGGGTCCCCAGGGTACTGAGGCAGCAACATGGTAGGGAGACCTTGATGAGCCACACTGTCGTCACAGAGTGAGTCTGACCCCCAACCCCGTGCTGCTGCCTAGTGCTGCAGAGCCAAGGCGATCTCTGCTTGAAGTGCTGGCTCCCAACAGTGCAAAGAAGAAACAGCAGCCCTTCAAATGCAGATGCCTCAGCAGACACACTTGGGTCACCCCATCCCAGTTTTCCTATACATATCCCTGATTTCCTCACTCCAGGTCCTGCTGCACACATCCTCAGGTCCTACACAATCCTCCCCCACATCCCAGCTCACTCTTCTGCTCCCCAGGGGAGGGTAGCCCTGCAAATGTGAAAACAGAATAAGGTCCAAATATAATTTTATATATATATATATTAATTTCACAAAGCTCGCTCTCTCTCTCTCTCTGTATAAACACACACACACAGATTTGTGAAATTAATATAAATATAACAAATTTCAAAAAGCTGAAAACAATTATGAACCCACTCAGGTGGGAGGAAGAATTTAATCAGAAAAATGTTAATGATAATTGAGAATTGTTTAAGAACACTTTACTAGATGCCCCAAAAGCCACAATCGAGGAAGGCGGCTATATTGGTTTAAAAAATGACCTGGTGTAGAAAGGAAGTTAAGGCATCTATGAATTTAAAAAAAAAAACCAACAACAATATATAACAAATGCATGTTGACTGACTCCCTCACTTCACGGGATTCTGCCTCAAAGCTTTCCAGGAAACTCTCATGGAGATACTGGGCAATCCGCTGCCACAGGTTCTTTGGCAAAGCTGCTTTGTTTCACACCCCATTAAGGGTAACTTTCCCACGCCACTCTGTTGTCACTGGGGGTGTGTTGGGGGGACACCATTGCTGCACACAGCCGAGCCGCATAAGGGTCAGGGCAGAAGCCGCAGTCTGGAGAAGACCCTCCCTTGATTCCCTGCTCACCCTCAGCAGTGAGATATCGTCCATAATGAACACAGCCTGTGGAAAGTGTGGGGATAGGAATGCTTATAAGGCCCCCCCTACAGTGCTGGCTCTCCCTAAGAGCCACATGCCCAGTGTACAGTACGGTCCTGGAACACTAATTTCCCCAGCCCCTGCGGCTACTCACCATTTTGGGGGTCTTGTGGCTCATGTGTGCTTGCCTGGGGTCAGCCAGTTAGTGAGAGGTATGTGAATAGTGGCTGTGTTTTAAATCACTGAATCAGTGGTCTGTGTGTTACAAGCACACACAAATCTTCTGTAAAATGTTGCATTTTGGCTTCACAGATCGGACCTTGGGAGCCCAGCCTCCCCCTTTGTTATCGCCAGCTGAACAGCTGCGCAGAATTAGAAAACAGCCACGAAGAATTAGGGAGGACTTTCTACGTGACACCATGATGCACTCCACGGCCGAAAAACAAGAATTGAAGGAGTGGCAGATGGGGATCGAAAGGAGAACGTGGTGCGCCAGAACGAAGCCATGGAGCGGCTCTTAAACGATATGGAGCGCCAAGTGGATATGCTCCAGACGCTACTAGCACTGCAAACAGAGCAGCTCCATGCCCGCCCTGCTCTGCAGCTGCTGTCGCAAAACTCTTTCCCATGCGCCCCCCCAGACACCACCAACACTCTCTTATCAACCTCCTGGCTCCAATCTGTACCCACTGCATTCCACTCCTGCCCCGTCACAGTCCAGCCCTGCGGACTCCCACTACCCACTGCACTCAACACCCGGCCCCCTGCAGTTTAGCCCTGCTAAAGTACAGTACCCGCTGCACTGTACTCCAAAGGACAAGGTTGCATATGATCCCTGGACATACGCAAATCTTCAACAGCCCCGGCATCCCACCTCTTCCTGGGACCCTCCCTTCCCCCATCCCCCACGTTGCTGATATGTTTTTTTGTTTGTCTCTCCTCCAGTGGTTGTTTTTTAATAAAATAATTGTGTTGGTTTGAAAGTAATCTTTATTCTGTTAACTGAAAGCAAACAGAGCCCTGTAAAGCAACAGGCAATTTTTTTAAACCTTCATAGTGCATCGTCTTCACCAATCACAGTCACCTCCTAGCATTACAAGCACTTCACTCCTGAGCATAGAAACAAATATTAGTGGCTTTCAGCTTCAAATTGCTGCCCTCAAAGCATCCCTGATCCTTATGGCCCCATACTGTGTCCCTCTAATAGCCCTGATCTCTGGCTGTTCAAACTCAGTCTCCAGGTGCTGAGCCTCAATGGTCCAGCTCTGAGTGAAGCTTTCACCTTTCCCTTCACAAATATTATGTAGCGTACAGCACACGGCTATAGGCATAGGAATATTGTCATTGGCCAGGTCCAGCCTCCCATATAGACAGCGCCAGTGGGCCTTTAAATGGCCAAAAGCACACTCAACACTCATTCTGCACTTGCTCAGCCTGTTGTTGAACCGCTCCTTGCTGCTGTCAAGGTGCCCCATGTATGGCTTCATAAGCCATGGCATTAAGGGGTAGGCAGGGTCTCCCAGGATCACAATGGGCATTTCAACTTCCCCTACGGTGATCTTCTGGTCCATGAAGAAAATCCCTGCATGCAGCTTCCTGTACAGGCCAGTTCCGAAAGATGCGTGTGTCATGCACCTTTCCGGACCAGCCTGCGTGAATGTCCGTGAAACACCCACGGTGATCCACAAGCGCCTGGAGAACCAGAGAAATACCCCTTCCGATTCATGTACTTGATGGCTAGGTGGTCTGGTGCCAGAATTGGAATATGCATGCCATCTATCACTCTTTCACAGTTAGGGAAGCCCATTTGTGCAAAGCCATGCACTATGTCACGCACGTTGTCCAGAATTACGGTCTTTTGGAGCAGGATGCAATTAATGGCCCTGCAGACTCCCGTCAACACGAGTCCAACAGTTGACTTTCCCACTCCAAACTGGTTAGCGACCGATCGGTAGCAGTCTGGAGTAACCAGCTTCCACAGTGCAATCGCCACGCACTGCTCCAACGGCAGGGCAGCTCTCATTCTCGTGTCCTTGCATCACAGGGCTGGGATGAGCACATCACACAGTCCCATGAATGTGGCTTTCCTCATCCGAAAGTTCTGCAGCCACTTCTCGTCATCCCAGATGTGCATGACGATGTGATCTCACCACTCAGTGCTTGTTTCCCAACCCCAAAAAGCGGCGTTCCTCTGTGGTCAGCACTTCTGTGAATGCCACAAGCAATCTCATGTTGTAGCTACTACGCATGGCAAGATCGATGTTGCACTCCTCTTGTCTTTGTAGTTTAAGGAAAAACTCCACTGCCACTCATGACATGTTAGTCAGAGTGAGCAGCATACTGGTCAACAGTGCGGGATCCATTCCTGCAGACCGAAGAAGCAGAGCACACAGTACACAAACTGTTGAAAGACGGCACCAAATGCGGATGGAAGCACAAGGATTTCTGGGATGCGAAGCAATACATCACTGGGCATTGGCACAGGACCTAGGATGCCTCGCAACCCCCTCCGCCTTCCCACAACTCTTAGTGGCAGAAGAGGAAGAGATGCTCTGTCAGATAGCTGCCCAGAGTGCACCACTCCGAATACCGCTGCAAGTGTGAACACGCTATTGCACAAGTAGTTTTTAAGTGAGGTGAAACTTGGGATACGGAAGACAAATCAGACTCCAGAAAGGAGTACAGTAGTCTGGCAAGGCCGAGAACTACTGATACAAACTATGATACTGGAGATGGCAGAAACTGTCTAACATGATCCTTAAATTCAGGTGTAATTGTTTGAATTGGAAGAATCTTTCACACTCCCTCTTTTGTAATGAAATACCTATGCTTGATAAAATTAAGTTATTCCTGAATTTTAGTCATTTTTAGATGACTTACGCAAGGAATACTTTTGCGCACCCAGTGCATTGACAAGAATACACATAATGTTGTGCTGCTGTATACCATACAGTTAACCTCAGTCAAAAATGGAACCAGAAAAACCAGATTTTCAAGATGGTTTACCTCCATCCTTCCACTGGCTCCCCTGGAGGCAGCTGAATAACTAGCTAAAGCCTTAATAACATCTATCTCTCACTCTCACACCACCATTCCTCTCCCACCCCATTTCCATCAGAGTTGAGAATGATCTCCAGAGTGGTCACAGATGAGCATTGTGGGACACCACCTAGAGGCCAATTAAGTCAAATTGCACTACCTCGCAGTTCATCCATGAAAATCGAAGTTAAGCACTATGCCTCTCGCAGAGGTGGATTACAGAAGTCAACATTAGAGGTGACTTAGGTTGGCGTAAAGGACCTGGTAGTGTAGACACATACATTAACAGGTCGACTTAAGGCGCCTTCCTTCGACCTAACTTTTTAGTGTAGACCAGGCCTTAGAAAATGTTTCCTGAGCTCCACCCGCATATCCAAGTTTCAGCACTGACATATTTTTATATGATGGCTTGTTTTGGCCTGTTCTACAGGACCCTCTCTGTAAGAAGTAGCAGTGAGTGGAACCTCTCTCTTCCTTTATAGCCTTGCTGAGCTCTTTTCCTTGGTGATGGAACAGTGCGGAACATTTGTTTTTATGTGGCTATTGAAGTGGATAGTAAATATTATCCATGTCGTGGCAAGTTTCATAAAGTGTACAAGACAATAGTCCTCCTAAGATAAATACAACTTTATGACCCTCAGTCAGCAAAGTATGCTCCCAGAGTGAACCTTTTGAAGTACAAAAAGGAGTCAAACACGGCTGTATCATTACTCCAACCATGTTTGTGGTTTTTACTGCCGTCATTCTTTACCTAATTGCTGGGAAGTTTACAGCTGGCGTTGAAATCATTTACAGAATCATTTACTCAGGCTAGCAGGCTGAAAGCCAAGAGTAAGATCTCCACAACATATATTGTGGAACTTCATTATGCTGATGAAAACGCAATCTTTGCCCACAATGAGAAAGATCTTCAAACTATCTTGAATGTGTTTGCCGATGTTTATGCATGTCATGGTTTCACTCTTAATATCAAGACGACTAAAGTGCTCTATCAGCCCTCTCCAGATGTAGTATTACATGCCCCATCTATCAAAATCAATGGAGTGGCACTGGAGAATGTCAATCATTTCCTCTACCTTGGAAGTCATCTTTCATCCAAGGCAGATATTGATGCAGAAATTCAACATCACCTAAGCTATGCCAGTGTAGCTTTTTCTTGTTTATAGCACAGCATTTTTGAAGATCACGACATTTGAACAGACACCAAGCTTCTTCTTTATCAAGCCGTTATTCTCTCAGCACTGTTGTATGGGTCCAAAACTTGGACAACCTATAGACACTACTTGAAAGTCCTTGAGAGGCACCATCAACGATGCCTTTGTAAGATTCTGACAATCAAGTGGGAAGACAGGTGCAACAATATTAGTGTTCTGGTAGAGGCAAAGACCACCAGTATCAAGGCAACGATCATCCATCAGCAATTCTGCTGGACTGGTCATGTTGTCCGGATGCCAGACCATCGCCTCCCAAAACAGGACCTGTTTTCTCAGCTGAAAGAAGGGCACCGCAACATAGGTGGACAACGGAAGCATTATAAGGACTTGCTGAAGGACAATCTAAAAAAGTGTAATATTGACATTGACACTTGGGCGACACTTGCCCAGGATCGCTTAAAATGGAGTGAAGTCCTACGTGATGGTCCCCTGCATTTTGAACTTGCTCGCCGACAAGCTGAAGAGGACAAGAGGCGCAGGAGGAAGGAGAGACTAGTCTCCAGTCATGGTCAACAGCCTCCTGCTGAGTCTGAAAACATCTCCCTCATTGTAATAGAACTTGTGGTTCAAGGATTGGCCTCATTAGCCACCTGAGGACCCATAACTCCCACGGAAGATGATCATACTCAGTAACAAGTGATCGCCCATCATCATCACATGTTTGGGGTATATTCTCTCCTTGAGAGACACATGCAGATACAGAAAGCGAACAGACTTACTTAAAACTTTTAAAATCTACACATGTGGTTAGGATGCTTTTCCATATCATTACCTGATTATAGCCTATCATATTTTGTTTGAGTCTCTGCACTGTAATTATTTTATTAACATGAAGAGAGTTATGTGACATCCTTGATTAAAGTATAATTATAAAAAAGAAAAAGCTACATGTACAGTGATTTCCCACAGATGTGTATACAAAACCAGGATTGTTATAGTTCTACCAAATCAAGGTAAAGTTTGTTTCCATTTTCTGTTCAAGGCCCTCCGAGGAATATGGAAATTATTATTTGCTTGTAGCTTCCTAGGGAAATAGGCATGGGAAAAATTGTGACAATTATAAACATTCCACTGAGGAGCAAACCATGCAAAATGCCACAAAATAATGCAGAAGAGCTTGATACCAAAAATGACTTGTTAGAAAATGCTTAATGAATCCCAAAATAACTTACAATAAATAAACCAATGACTGAATTTTTAGACTCATTTTTATATATTTTTATAATGGAGATATCCTATCTCCTGGAACTGGAAGGGACCTTGAAGGTCATTGAGTCCAGCCCCCTGCCTTCACTAGCAGAACCAAGTACTGATTTTGCCCCAGATCCCTAAGTGGCCCCCTCAAGGATTGAACTCACAACCCTGGGTTTAGCAGGCCAATGCTCAAACCACTGAGCTATCCCTCTCCCCCTTAATTATTGCTTAATTAAGTAACTGACTTAACCTTAGGTCTAAAAGGAACAAGTGAAGGATATCCAAAATAAATAAATACAATTTTTAATGGAAGATACTTGTATTTTCCACCTCCTTTACAATCTCTGTCATAACAATCTCTCCAATATTTGGGCACTGTACCTTAGCTCCTAATCATTTTTAAATCGCTTATGATTGCTTTCATAACAATATATCTCACAACACTCACAATCCTTGGCTCCATCAGATAGTGTTACAATGCCAATATAAAGTAATTAAAATAAAGGAATCCATACATTTCCCCCCACACACATTTTTACAGAAAATAAAATAGTAATGAGGTACCACACTCATGATGATTATAGGTCAGTAGTACAAGAACAATTAATTTGTACTGCATAACAATACAAGACTTTTTAACTGGTTAAAAAAATTGGGAGAATATCCAGATAGTACTGACCTCAGAAATCTTGACACCGTGCAGAGGAAGTTCATTTTCTACAAAAGCTATGAAAAGGATTAGACTCAGATTTAGGCCAGAACAAGATTTACATTCCATATGGATCCAAATCTATAATATGACACACAGATGGGAGCACAGAGTATACAAAAGCTTATTCAACAAACTGTAGTACAGAGTAAAATCAAGTTTTCAAAGGAACAGACTGGAAGATAATAAAGCAAAACATTTAAGACTAACAAGTTTCTGTTAAAAAAGTCTATTAAACTTTGCATAACAAAACCATTTTCACAGTAACTGTCTGTTTTCCATAGTATAAATCTTGACAGGCATAAAAACAGCAACTGTCTACATTATTTTCCCCCCCAATAAGTTTTAGCATTTGGCTCATTATTCAAAGAGTGCCCAAGAAATGGTTCACTTCAACAATGGATGAACATTTATTATTACTTCACTCCATGAAAGAAGAGCTAGCTTTGCAAAACAGTGCCAACATTTTCAGCCATAATCCTTTGAAATTTGGCCTGTGATAACAAAGTCAAGTATGTTTGCCCTGGATTGTAACGAAGGTTGGTTTTGGGGGCAAACAGCATATGTGACTACATGAGAGAAACTGTCAGAAACTGATGTAATCCTTTTCTTTTTTTTAAACCGGAATAAAAAAAAATACAATCTGGTAAAACTTACCAGATGTTCCATTGTTTTACTAGCTGTGTGTGACCTACAAGTTAAAATCTGCATATGTGGAAATTAAAATGCTTTCATGAACACAAGATCAGCCTTTTTAGATCAAAGACACAGGCTCAATTCTGCAAAGACTTATGCACATGCTTATCTTTATACACTGTGGATGAAATCCTGGCTTAGTTGATGTCAACAGCAAAACTCCCATTGACTTCAATGGTGCCAGAATTTCACTCACAATGTTTAAAGCTATGCACGTGCATAAGCTTTTGCAGGATCCTGGTCATAGTTTGTAGGATTCGAGTGTGGTGTTTCATAAACTGAAACCAGGATAATTTCTTACCCACAAGTGCAATTTCATGTTTCTTGTAAGCAAGTTTCCCTTTTAAATTACTTTAGTAAGATTCATTGCCAAAATAACCAAAAATGTAGGACATGAACTGACAGGTCCCAACATTATCATCAGTGAAAAGCAGACAATGTGCTTCAAATGCTCCATAAATGAGAGACTAATTTTAATGCCTATCTTCAAAGACACTCCATGTTGCATTGAATAGGAAAGCATTTCTCTTCAAAATAACTTTAGCTGTACCACTGAAAAACATACACACACCCCCCACAAAATCCTTGCCTACCTTACTAGCTTTGTTGTAAACAAATAATGTGATGGCACATATGCACCAGTTTATTCACTATTTAATACTGAGATGGAAGGGGCTTAGTCATCTCTATTCAATTTTCTGATCTAATTACTGCACAATTCAGAAAATAAGGCAAAAAAGCCATTCAACATTCCAGTGCTACTTGAACATCTTCCACATCCTTACATATTGTAGACACAAGCAATAGCTTAACTTCCATTGTTGACAAAGCAGATCTGGCCACACCAAATAAACTATTAAAATTTATCAGTTATTAAACACTATGAATATTCAAGGCACTAACATATCAAACATTGATGGTGTATGGGTCAGAGGAGGAAGAGGATTACAAAAAAGAGCTAGTCAATTTCATTTGTTACTAAGGGCATATCTTCACTGCAGAATTAACTTGAGTGTTGCCTCTAACTTAAGTTCCATCCACACACAAAATCCCTTAACTACAGTGTGGCACTGCTTTGAACTCGGGCTCGTCTGTCAGGAGGTATAGGCCATAGCTCGAATTAGCTAACACAACCACTCCGTGCAGTTTGTTACTTCTCAGTATGGCTGCTCTCACCCCAAGTAGGCTAACCTGAGCTTAAATAGCTGAGTTAACTCTGCAGGAAAAACAATATTTTTTTTAAAATGGGAAATTTCAAAACAAAAATATTTGTTTTGTTCTATATGAAATTTTCATTTCAGATGTCAACAGACAAAATATTTTGAAATTGTGTTTTTTCCTCCCTTTCCTCACTGAATGCTAGAGAATTAATGATGTCTAGGTATCTTTTTCACTTTTTCTGTTTTCCTTTTTTCGTCTATAACTTTTCAAAACTTTCCCAACTTTGGAAAACTTACAAGGTGGCAAATGGGAAAATGGCACACTAACTTTGCCACTCTGCAATAAAAAGAAAGATAGATAATAGTGGTGATGGTGCAGGAACTGGACATTCTTTTATTATTTATTCATTTAGTAGCAAGGAGGAAGAAAAAAAATGAGAAGCAAAACAAAAATCCAAGAGCCAATATTTCAATTTTCAAAATCTGAAACAAATCAAAATTTGTATTCAAAATCCAAAACAAAAATTTCAGTTTGCTTTAAAATTTCCTCCCTCCCCCTCCCTCCTACAGCCCTCCAAAAAAAACAAAACTAAACATTTGGAATGAGAATTTTTCATTCAGGATTTTTTTTTGCACCAAAAAAAAGTTTGTTGACCAGCTCCAGTAACAACATACCACTGGAAGCTTTAGGCTGTCATGGATAAAGAACAGCTTGTTGAAGATGAGTCCAAGCAAGACAGAAATATGCTGGTGGGCAGAGAAAAGCACTTCGAAGAGTGTGTAGCCATGATGCAGTCTCTTTTGATTAAAGGTACACAGCTACAATTGGTCAATTCAGTCTATAGTTCAGGAGTGTTCCCAGATGCTGATGCTAAGCTATCATATAACTGCATGTGAGAGTAATGCGTTCTACTGCCCCTGGCTGACTGGGAGACTCCATCCCATCCTGGTAACTGATGAGTTGGCCTCATTTACACATGCCTTCTTCTCCTCCTGTCTCAACTACAGTAATGCAACATACCTGGGCATGAAGCCATTAACCCTTAGGAAACTCCAACTAGTACAGAATACTGTAGCATATCTCCTCACGAACACTGGCTTCCACAAGCACATCAAACCTGTCCTCTGCTCTGTACATTGGCTTCCTATAAAATACTTCCTATAATATACTAATGCTAAGTGAAGTTCATGGTTTCAGTCCTTATCTTCCAGGTGCTTAACGTACTAGATCAAAAGAACACCTAAAACTCTGGGATAAAGCCCATGGTTAACAACTCTGGAACAATGGAACTTTTTATCATAACAGTAGTCTCTGCAGATAAAGCTAGTCTGTGCAGGAGACAGAGCTTTCTCGGGAACTGGTCCCAGAAAGAGGAATGATCTCCCACAGGAACTAAGGCCCACCACAAACTTCTCCACCTTCTGCTCCAAGTACACAGTGCTCGACCTAACTTTAACATAAGCACAGAGCAGCGTATACATTATAATGCAAAACAGTCCACTCCACACACACTTCTCCCCCTGGGGAGAGGAGAGAATGAACTACACATGATAGATGTTAGTCACCTTGCATATTCATAGATAAGGTCAAAAGTGACCAGTGCGATCATCTAGTCTGACCTCCTACATAACACAGGCCACAGAACTTCCCTGAATTTTCCTGTTTAAACTAAAGTATATCTTTTAGGAAATATCCAATCTTGATTTTAAAAATTGCCAGGGGTGGCCACAACCCTAGATAAGTTGTTCCACTGGTTAATTATCCTCGCTGTTAAAAATTTGTGCTTTCTTTCCACTCTAGTCTAGCTTCAGTTTCCAGCCCTTGGACCTTATTATACCTGCTATACAGAGAAGCCCATTATCAATTTTTTGTTCCTCATGTAGGTGCTTATAAACTGTGATGAAGTTACCCCCTAATTTTCTTTGTTCAGATAAACAGATTGAGCTCTTTGATTTTAGCACTATAAAGGCATGTTTTCTAATCCTTTAATCATTCTGGTGGCTCTTCTCCAAACCTCTGCAATTTATCAACTTCCTTGAATTGTGGACACCAGAACTGGACACAGTATTCCAGCAGAGGTTGCACCAGTGCCAAATACAGAGGTAAAATAACCTCTCTACTCCTACTTGAGACTCCTCTGTTCATGCATCCCAGAATTGCATTAGCCCTTTTGGCCACAGCATCACACTGGGAACTCATGTTTGGCTGATTATCCACCATGACATCCAAATCTTTTTCAGAGTCATTTCTTCCCAAGATAGAGTAACCCGTGCTACAGGTATGGCAATGGACTGATGCAACTCCCCAGTAAATTCCTTTGCTAAAGGTGGGGCCAGCAATGGAGCAGATCTGAGTGAAGTAGCTATCAGAACTGCCAGGCAGCCAGCTGAGGCGGAAGCAGATGCAGACTGGAACGGGGTATGGCTAGCATGAAGGCAGGCATGGGCTAGAGACAGCTGGAGCACTAGCAAGAGCCAGAGCAAGAACAATCTGTTGAAATTACTGACAATGGGAGTGTTCCTGGCCAGGTAGTGACACTGAGCAGTCCTGAGAGACTGCTTCCCTTAGGAGCCTATATACCTGCTTTGGGGTCACCCAGTTGAGTCCTCACCTATGGACTGGCTGAACCCTGGTTGAATGGCATGGGCCCTATCACAAGACCCAGGGCCGGCTCTAGGATTTTTGCCGCCCAAAGCAAAAACAATTTTGGCTGCCCACCCCCCCCTTATTTAATTACCCCACCCCCGACCCCCCCTCAACTCCGCCCCTTCCCCAAATCCCCAGCCCTGCCTCCTCTCCCCAAGCTCTCAAGCCTAGGAGGGAGAGAGGGAGGGGAAGAAGCGGCGCCGCGCCGCGGCCACTCGGAGTCTCCCCCTCCCTCCCAGGCTCTCAAGCCTGGGACGGAGGGGGAGCAGTGGCGCGCAAAACGGCCACTCG